GTCGGCACGGGGAAATCCTAAGTCTCAGACATTTCAGCAAAAAATATATAAAATTACAACAGATAAACTATAAAATTTTAATTAAAATTTTATTATAAATCATATTTGATAAAATAAAAAGAATTATATAAATGGTAAATGAAGGTAAAATTATTTATAAAATGTTTATTTTTTTGCATTTATAGACAAGGAATTCAATTAAATTCAAAAAAATATAAATTGAGATAATAAGGTTGATTTTTTTTAAAAACTATTGCGTCGGGAAGTATTTTTAAAAATATTATATATAATATTTTTATTTTTTAGAATAAAAATCTAATTTGTCGTTTAAATAAATACCATTTGGAAGCTTAAACCCCAAAAATATATTATATTTTGCATATAGAAAGAACTATTAAAAAATGAAATCACCCAAACACATTCAATAAAAAATTATAATTAAATATTGACAAATTTATAAATATAAAACAGGCATAATATAAATGTATTTCACATAATTAAAAATTAAAGCATTTGTTAAAAAAAATGTTTGATTTTTACGATTTTTACTAATAATTTTTCATACTTTTTTAAAAAAAATTTGTCATAGTTTAAATAAAAAAATACTGCATTTTTTTTTAAAAAAAAATTTGGAATATATTTACACACCAGGGAAAAAAATAAGATAAAAAATTTTTTTTCTTTCTTTTGCATTCGAAGGAATAAATTATTTGAATAAATTAAATATATGTATAAAAAAATTTGAGATTGAGATTTCATAGGTTGAGAAATACTGGTGATTATAAATGTTTGACTAAAAAAGAAATATGGAAAGGGTGTGGATTTTGCTTTTTCAAAATTTTATCCGGTTTTTGCTTGAGTAAATTGTTTAATCATAATTCTTACGTCTTCAGTCTTTAAAGGTAGAAAAATATTGAAATCGTTATTTTAAGTGGCAAAATAAAATATTTTTTATATGAAAATGACTAAGGTTACGCTACGGCCATACCAGATCGTTCTAGCGTTTGAGCTCGTAATCTCAAAAGATAGTAAATCCATGATGGCGCTAAAATTTTTATCAACCGCTTATTAGTTGTTGAAATCGGACTAATTTTCATATTTAAAATGGCAAAATTATTTATATAATATATTTATAACTATTTATTATAATGGCTATGGCTACCAAATGGCTCCATTTCTCAAAGACTTTGGTAGGTCATATAACCTAAAATATTTTCTGAATACTGTTAAACATGTCAGTTAGGTTCCCTAACTATTCACTTTGCTTTTTATTGACTAAGTACACTAATCAAGATTTCCACAATTCATATATCATAAAACATACAGGGATTTTGAACAAGCATATTTTTAAGTTCCTGGCTCATTTCCGTATTTGAAACATTCTAGAGCCTTTGTGAAAAAAAAAATTGAATTTATTTCTATTTTATTTAAACGAACTTATTTTTATTCAGATTACGGTCTAAGTATTGAGTTTTTTTATCCTAAAAAAAATTGTCATTTATATTTTGCGCTTGGAAATATGATATGTTTACACTTGAGTGTGGAATGAAAAAAATGCTTTTCAGCATTTACTCTAAGAGAGTGGCGGATTTTATAAGGATCAATTAAATTCAGATTTATTGAAAACGATTCATCCTCAAAATTTTTGTTAAAAGATTCTTTATAATATATTTTATTTAGTAACTCTTTTAAGTCACGTGTAGCGGTGTAGAAAAGCAGTAGGCCCAACCATGTTAAAATTTTAAGCATACAAAAATATAAAAGATAGACTTTTTAGATAATACACTAATATTTGAATGTAAATTTGAATATAATTTTATAAATCATCTCAGGAAGGCATTTATACATCGTCCCGATTCCGTTCCATTGGTTTAAGCTGGATTGATAATGGGAGCCGATCCGAAATGATTTAATAGCTGATCGATTTTTAAAATCTTTTTATGAGAATATTTTTTCTTTATTAATACTATTCATGATAATAAACTTGGAATTATTAATATAAATAAAGAAAATTTGATCTCATAAAATAGATTTTTAAAAGCAACCAGCTGTTAAATCGTGTCGGACCCCATTATCAACCCAGCCTTAAATAAATCTCCGTTCTGATTTTGTCACTAGAACAATTGTAAATAAAATATACTCTCTTTAATATTACTACTACTCCGTTTTTTTAAACGCATCCAGGATTTTCCTATGGGGGGGGGGGGGGGTACTATTAGATGGGGTTTTCTGCTATAAATTTTAGAGGAAATCTTCAAGTCCACTTATTGTAGACAATTTATATAAAAATAATTTTTGTTTTTTAGTTTTTAAAAATTTTGAATTTAGTCATGATATTAAAATTTTTTTAACTTTAACTTATTTTTCTTTCAAATTATTGTTTAGTGATATAATGTATACATTTGAAGGGGGGAGGGGGGGGTGGATAAAATTAGCTTAATATGATATTTACGAGAACAGGAAAATTTCCAATAGGGTAGAAACTTCCCACTTTATAACCCTTTGATTACGCCTATGCGTTTTGACTTAATAAGCTAAGTAAAAATAGAATTAGCGGTTATATAGGTACCCTTTTCGGAATTTCTTCTAAAAAAGGCAAAAGTTTGAGTAATTCGTTATCTGTTTTGTCGTCGAACCACGAATTGATCAAGATCCCATTTTCGGGCTAAATTAAAAACATTTTTTTTGTTTATGATATATCATAGAAATAATTTATTTTTAAAATAATGTTTTTAAAACATAATTTATAAGAATCTAATATATCCCGTGAAAACGTGTAAAAGATATAAGTATTCGGCATACACTTAAAAACAGTTTAGTTATTCCTTCCGATGTCCAAGAAGCCGAGATCTGCAAAGTTTAAACCGTTGAGTGAACCGGATAAATTTTTAAAAAAATTAAAGTAGGCTGACAATTTGTACATAAAAATATTTCAGGACGGGCGGGAAAATTTAATCTATATAACGAATCGAGTAGGCCTTGCAAATCTCTGATTTCTCGCAAGCATAAGAATCTTTATATGATTTTTTTTTGGAATTTCAAACTAATATTTAGATTTAATACTATTTTGAAAATAAATTAAAATATGTTTATTTCCTTTGTATTTTAAGAGCGGTCTAACTAAAAAAAATATTTAAATCTCCAAATAATATAGTAAATTCCACAAAAAAATAAACAAGTTATTTATGATATGATTCAATTACGAATACACAATACAGATTACAGACGTCAATCACAATTTATTTATAAAACGGTTGTGGTAGAAAATGGAAGACGAACACTTGGTTAAATTCGTTCATTTTTTAACATTTACGAAAGCATTCAAAAAAAAAGTTATAAACTACAATGCAAGGACGCACTAAATCTAAAAGATAACAAATATTACTTGGTACAAAAAAGCAACTTGCGAATTGTCTATGATGATTGTTTTCGATAAATCGCGTCCGAGGATGGCCAAATCCTTAATGTAATTACCGTGAACGCATACGCAGTGTTCCCTAAACAGTCTAAACCTAACAAAATTATAATATAATAATAATCCATTATATTTTTTTTTTATAACTATTCCTTTCTTCTCTTCATTCCAATTTTATTTTGGCATATAATTACATTGAAGATCAAAAAAAATATTATGAAACGTTTATAAAAAAAAATCCTTTATTTTATATAAAATTAATTATTATAATGATGTTTAGAAACTGAAGAGTTTTGGCTTTATTTCAAATTGTGTATTTTAAATGGTAACGTTAAAATTAGTAAACGTTTTCTTTGCGTCAAATTTTTTTTTTTATATTAAATGTTACTTCAATTTAAACGACATAATAGTTTTTTTAAGGGAATACACTAGTGTTGTTAAACGTCTCGATTTTTAAAAACGGCTAACCCAATATTCTAACCAAAAAAATATTACGGAAGCCTCGAAAGTTCGTTAGTAAATGTCTAAACGTCGTCATAGGCAAAATCTTCAATGCATAAAATTTTTGGCGAAATATTGGACTAGTCGTTATTTTTAAAAATTGAGCCATTTAACCACATAAAAAAACACAAAGCTAAATAATTTTGTCCAATTTTTTGTGAGCACTATAATTCTCGAATAAAATATTTAGTATCGAATTTCAATAAACATAAAAATAACCTTTTTTTAAAAAATCAATTTATTTCAGTTACCTCTGTCTCATTAATTATTTTATGTTTATAATGGCAAAAAATAAAGAAAATGTTAAAATATTGGCATGGCATGAAAATCTTATTACGAAGGCCAGATATTTTATTGGATAATTTCCAAATACAAATTGTGCCTCGATCTTTATTTTTTGTTTGTTTATTTATTTCTTTCTTTCCTTCCTTCTTTCTCTTTCTTTCTTTCATTCTTTTTCACTTTACACATGGTGTAGTATATAAAATTCAAACTTTATCAATTTTTTATCCGGATCTAGTATATCCATAAGAGCTTCGGCGTAAATTTTTTTGGAAGCGGTAAACAAAATAACTTCGAATATTTCGGACACTCGCTCCAAAAATTCTTTGAAGTGAGGTCTGAGTTTCACGTAAACCTTTATATAAATAAATAAAATACATATTTGAAAAAATTTTTAGAAGAAAAAAAACAATACAATTAAAATTAAATATGCCTAAGTATCTTTTTTTTTCTCTAAAACATTTGATAAACCTAAAGTAATGTTGTTAAACGGTTCGATTTAGTTTATTTTAAAGAACGGCTAAATCAATATTTTTGCCAAAATATAATATCTAAGACTTGAGATTTCGCTAATAGATTTCCAAACCTTTTCTGACATTTATGTGCAAAATTTTTAGCGCAATATTTTTTTTAGCTAAAATCTTGAGTTAGCCATTTCTAAAAATCAGGTAAATAGAGCCGTTTAACAACACTGACCAAAGGTAAATTTTTTATATTTCGAAATCAAAAATAAAACCAATGAATGATAAATGAAAATCAAAAAAGACAAAAAAAAAATGGTAAAGAGATTGAAAAAAAATGGTAAAGAGATTGAAAAAAAATTGTAAAGATATTGAAAAAAAAGAAATGAAATACTAACTTCATAAAGAACGCCTTGAAAGGTGACTTTGAAACTCATTTGCGATTCGGGAAGTGGAACGAGGGCGCAATGAACCAGTGTTTCGTCTAGATCCAACACTAACGAATACCTAAAAAAAATATCGTAAATTTTTAAAAAATTCCACTATTGGAACAGATTACATTGTTATAATGATAACATAATATTTAATTATTTATATAACGAATAAAAACTTATTAATCAGTAAAAAAAATTGCTATGTTCAATTTATCCCTGAATCTCAATTATAAGGCATAATGTTTCTGAGAATTATTAGTTTCTTAAACAATAATATTTATTTTCTTTTTTACTTTGCTTCATTCTTAAAAGATTTAGAAAACAATATTTATATCAGCGCGAACAAAAGGATTAGATATAACGCATATAATAACAACATGATATTATGATTAGATATTCAATAGGAAAAAAAAGATAGGCAGTAGCAAATACTAGAGCTACACTGATCCTCAATTTTTTTTACCGATCTGATATTTATTTCAAACGGCACAGATACCGATATTTACATTATTTATTTGATGGAATAATAAAATCTGCATATAAATTTTTCGGTTAGGGTCCACCTCTTCGTATGAACATTTATGAAAAAACGTCAAATGGCCTAAAATGGCCACAAATATATTTGAAGCGATTATAATATTTGTATAATTTTGAAACATTGTAACAGATTAGACAAATAAATTAAAAAATGCTTTTTATTTTAAATTAAATTTAAACATAAAAATTGCTAAATAGTAATTAATATTTATATTAAGGGAATCGATTGGAAATTTTGGGAATAAATTGGAAAAATTTTGGGAATCAATATTAAATTAACTAACAATATATTTAAAAATCTATTAAATTAACTAACAATATATTTGTAAATCTATTAAATTAACTAACTTGGAAATTTTGGGAATCAATTGGAAATTTTGGGAATCAATTGGAAAAATTTTGGGAATCAATATAAAATTAACTAACAATATATTTAAAAATCTATTAAATTAAATAACAATATATTTAAAAATCTATTAAATTAACTAACAATATATTTGTAAATCATTAAATTAACTAAGTTGGAAATTTTGGGAATCAATTGGAAAAATTTTGGGAATCAATATTAAATTAACTAACAATATATTTGAAAATCTAGTAAATTAACTAATAAAATTTTTAAATATCTATTAAATTAACTAACTTGGAAATTTTGGGAATCAATTGGAAAAATTTTGGGAATAAATATTAAATTAACTAACAATATATTTAAAAATCTATTAAATTAACTAACTTGGAAATTTTGGGAATCTATTGGAAATTTTGGGAATCAATATTAAATTAACTAACAATATATTTAAAAATCTATTAAATTAACTAATAATATTTTTAAAAATCTATTAAATTAACTAACTTGGAAATTTTGGGAATCAATTGGAAATTTTGGGAATCAATTGGAAATATTTTGGGAATCAATATTAAATTAACTAACAATATATTTAAAATCTATTAAATTAACTAACAATATATTTAAAAATTATTAAATTAACTAATAATATATTTAAAAATCTATTAAATTAACTAAATTGTAAATTTTGGGATTCAATTGGAAATTTTGGGAATCAATTGGAAAAATTTTGGTAATCAATATTAAATTAACTTACAATATATTTAAAAATCTATTAAATTAACTAACAATATCTTTAAAAATCTATTAAATTAACTAATAATATATTTAAAAATCTATTAAATTAAATAACTTGGAAATTTTGGGAATCAATTGGAAATTTTGGGAATCAATTGGAAATTTTGGGAATCAATTGGAAATTTTGGGAATCAATTGGAAAATTTTGGGAATCAATATTAAATTAACTAACAATATATTTAAAAATCTATGAAATTAACTAATAATATATTTAAAAATCTATTAAATTAATTAACTTGGAAATTTTGGGAATCAATTGGATATTTTGGGAATCAATTGGAAAAATTTTAGTTTTAGCAAAACGACAAAACACCTATTAAAAAAAATACGAACTAGAGAACACTTGTATATTTATTTATTTTTTAAAAAATAAATTGGTAAATATGGAAATATATATATTTCATATTCCCAATTTGATTCCCTTAAAATAAAGATTTAGGGGAATTATGAAGATTTATTGTTCAAAAATAAATATTAAAAAAAAGGAACATATAAATAAAAATATGTATAAAATCGGTATCGGGTAAATTTTTAAAAAATAACGGCCGATCCGATAAAATGGCATATTAATTTTTAAATTTTTTTTTATCAAATTTATATATTTATTTGTTACTTATTATATAAATAGATTAATGTTGTTATATAAATAAGTGATTTATCAATAGAAAATATTTTATATACTTTTAGATTCATAAATAATAAACTATAACTGATCTTTTTAATAAATTTAAATGACTTCTGTTATGGTATATAGTATAAGTAGAAAAATCAGATATGATATCGAATCGGTAATCGGTCGATATCACTTTAATATCGGATCGGCCTTCAAAAAGTGGTATCCCTCTCCCCCCCCCCTAAATAACCTGATAACACATAAAAAATGAAATCCCCTTTCTCTTCCTCGATTATATTTTTTTAAAAAAATGAAATAATACCCGTTTTGATTTGCATTATAATTATTAATTATAAATTATAACATTGATAATTGAATAAATAATTTTTTTATAAAAAAATACAATTCTCATTCTTATTTTTTCCTATATATTCATGCCCGCGTTATAAAAAAATTTTATTTCAATTAATTATCATAATTATTTAAATAAAATTCATATATTAAAAATTTCTGGCTGGGTGGCATTCTTTTTATTTGACCCGCAAGCCAGGTCATGTTCAAATAATTTGCAAAATTTATAAAACGCTTGAGCTTATTTCTAAAAACGGCTAACTCAATATTTTAGCCAGATAAATATTGCCTAAGCCTTGAAATTTCGCTATTAGGTGTCCAAACCTTTTTGCTACTTATGAAAAAATATCGGTAGTTAGTGTAGATTGATTATAATGGTCAGATACTCGCTTTAGTACCGATCAAAAAAGTGATGTTGGCGCACATCTGTTATGACACCAAAGTAATGAATTCATTTTAAATCATGATTTTAGAAAAAAATAAAATAATGTTTTAATTTGATTAATAATTAAAAAAAATCATTAGTGATTTTAATTTTATTTAATATTTGGCTAAAATTAAAAATCAGGGGCGAGCTTAAGCCTAAAAATATATGGAAATTTTCAATCAGGCTTAGGCCAAATAGAATTTTCAGGGCTCTGATGCACTGTGCAATAATACTATAAATGTTTTGGACTTTCTCATCGTGGCATAAAATAAATATTTATCTATCCCCCCCCCCCCTCTTCAAAAATAGCATTTTCTTTTAAATTTAAACTTATCGTTGCAAGGAGGAATAGGAGGAATGAAGGGAAGCTGATCGGCATAAAAAGAGTCAATTTCAATATTATCGAGATTCTCCACATTGACATCGAGACCTTCCAGATTGGAACCATCAACTGGCGATTGAAATACAAGGCGAGAATGGTCAAAGGTTGGGTAAGGATTGTGAAAAGGCGACGTTTCGTCAAAAATTATCTGTTCCTGGTGGTCATCCATATTTTTTGTATAATAGAAGATTGAGTGGAAAAGAATATGGGTTTTTTTCAAATAATTGAATTTATGATGATTTTATATGTATCTTTTATTGCTAAGGTGTTAAATTAAATATTAATTGAATTAATAATTTATTGCATTAAAAACAAATCTTGCAATCTTCAAAAATATTCAAGTGTTTCTGGAAGAAATGAGTTAAATTCTTTAGCACTTAGTATTAAGTAGCAGGTTTCAAGCATATTTTGAATGTTTTGTTAAGTGTAAGAGCATGATGTGTGAGCAAGTAGTATTAGTTTCATTAAATATTAAGAATCCATTCTTTTAAGAAAATATATAAGTATCTGTAGTTTTTTTTGCTAAGAAGAATTGTAAGGTTGTTACTATGGTATAGTTGGTACCTATATAATTCAAATGATTGATAAAAATTATTAATAAAGATAAAAATCAATGTATTATGTCCACATCATAAGGCATCACCCTATACAATGTGTGGAACAATAGACCTAGATGGTCTCCTAAAGGCCTGATTGGGTTTTCCAAAGCCCAACTATGCCAGACCCTAGTAGGATTCGGATATTGAAATTTTTTTTCTCAAGCTCAGGTTGGGATGTAAGAGGTGTCTAACATAAAGTTCGACAAATAAATATTAAAAATACACATATCTTTCATTTCATAAAAATTTCAATCAGAATAACTGATATTGATATGATATGTCATTTTATTATGTTTAATATTATATTTTTTAGAGGTTTGTATTCTAACTTTATTGTTTATATTTAAACTAAATAAAATTTATATGTATATAAATAAAATAAAATAAGATGCAACTTTATATGAATATTGATTATGGGGGTTAAATATATTTTTATTTAAGGTAGCAATATGTGAATAAGTAACATATATTTTAATTGTGCCTTGATATTATAATATTTAGACTAAATTTTATAAGGAAATTTAACTGGACCCAGGTTGGACCTAAAAATGTGTGCTTGGGTGGGGCACTGACAAAATTTTTAATTAGGGCTTGGGCAAAAAGAATGTTGCAAGACTCTAATGGTCTCTCCCATTCTAATCTAATTGGGGTTATTTAAAAGGGGAAATACCTGATGAAAGATTCATAATTTTAAGCAGGTTATAGTTACCTGTAAACTATACTTAAATGTCCACAGAAATTTTTAAAAAAAAGGCAGAGAAAGCCCTGCACCCATTTACATAAAAAAAAATTGGATTATAGAGGGGGTTGTCTATGTTTATTTACAGAAAGGAGTCGTTAAGGAAAATGATTTATAAATTTGAAATCTAAAATCTTATAAATAAATTAATTAGATAAATTTATTTTAAAACATTTGGTTTCACACTTTAATCTAAATTTTTCTTTTATCGACTTTTTTGTCTATTTTTTATTACGTATTCAATATTATTTTTTGGCATTGATTATATTTTATTCTTTTGATATCAAATATTTTATATTCAAAAGTGAAATCTTTTAATACTGTTAAAAATTTGATGCTACTATGCACCTTTAAATTTTTATTAAGGCAAGTGTTTTCTTATATTAGTTTGCTATGCTGATCATAAAAAAACAGGTCAAAGAAATGTCTATGATTAATTTTAAAAGGATCCTAAAGTTTTTAGAATGAAATTCTAATTTTGATGTTTTTACAGTGTAAAGTAAAATTGTCTAAAAAATAGATCAATTAAATAATTATCTATCACATTGAAAAAAATTAATTTAAAATAATAAAATATAAAAATCATAATTGTATTGTTCAGTATCGTATATAAATTAATATAATGAAAAATAATTACCACACGATCCAGTGTACGCTGGGGTTGTTATAGCAGGCCAACAAAAATTATGAAGCGATGCAATATTTAACCAAATATCAGCAGATAATATTCATTGATTACTGCTCCACGATGCTTAAAATGTTGATTAGCAAAGAGAAGGGAGTAAAAACATAATATAATATGATATAAAGTTGGGACGAATATCATTTTATTATAGGTTTAAATACCAATATTATGATTATGTATATAAATAAGGGTATTCGATATATACAATAGTTTGATATATATATTATTTTAACTTAGGGGTATAAATATGAGGAGGTGGAGGTGGGATATCATTAAGGATTCCACCCTTAACAGAGTAGTGCTCATTTATGTTTTTGGTTTGGCAATTTTATACACTTATAAGTGAATTGTAATATATTAAAATAGATATTACATAATTTAAGCTTAATAATATATAAATTATGCTAAATATTATTTAAATTATAATTAATATAACCTAATTTAGTTATTTGCCACTTATTTGGAATTTTTTATGACTTATTATTATCATCTATGTTAGCGGGATATGGTGAAAGAAAATGGGGGGGGGGGGGGGAGGGGGGGGTAGGAGTAGTTCGCTTCCAAATTTATTGAAGGGATAGGGCGGCATCTAATTAGGGTAGGAAGTTGGTATCTTAAGGGTTGTATTTATTGGGGAGTTATCAATTACATTTTTGGATGAAATAGGGCAAAATATATTACTGTAAACATTTATTTAGTATAAAGTTTGGGCCTATTAAAATGTACATTGATTACCAAGCATCGATAGAACTCACTGTAATAAATTTAATCGTAGTAATTTTAAATTTCTAAATATAGAATTATATTTTAAACAAAATTTATGTCATAATACTTCCAAAATAATTTGTACCAAAAGACCAACATTTATTTTTACATCCTGTTTAATATATATTATAAAAATTTCTATAAAAGTTGATATTAATGCACATTATTTTTCAAACATTTAATGTTGCTAATAACTTAATTTTTAAACTATTATAGTTAGAGACAGTTCTCACCACCGTGCTTAGGCATAGGTTTTAGGGTTTTCTGTCATGTAAACTCTGCTCATAGGCGTAGCCAAGATTTTCCTAAGGGGGAGGGGGGAGGGAATTAAAAATTATTGGGGGCTTTGCCCCCAGACCCCATTTGGGGCGGGTCTTTGGCCCGCTTTTGCCCCGGTTACCTTAGTCTATATATAGTCATAAAATATTTTTACAAGATAGGAGGTTAATTTTAATAAACAAATATGAAATATATTTTTATTAGTTTATATAAAATATAATATATTACTTGTATATACCTTAATATAAAAGCATGGTAATAATTTATTCCAAACAAGTATAAGAAATTTATTTATAAAATGTAAGTAGACATATAGTTGATATTCCTCTATTATATAGAATTAGTTACAAAATACTAGGTAAAATTCCACTTTTACATACATATTTGACAGTTAGAGAATATATTACAGTTAATACTTTAACAAATTTTACTAATCAATGCTCTTGATCATAAATATAGCAACAATTTGCATCCAATTATTTAACGCCATCTATTTATTTTAAATAAAAAAATGTGATTAAAAATTAATTTTCATATTATTTATCCCACAATGTCTTTAAAAGATATTTTCTGATGTCCTTATCAGTTTTCTGTAAAATATATAATTTGCTATATTGGTAAAAATTACTTGAATGTCATATGGTAATTGATAAAATTAGATATACTGTAAATCTACGACATATAATATTCCAATGTTTGTAATGTGCTCTAATTTTTTTAATTTAATTTATGATTTAATTTTATCAATAGTTTTATAATTATATTTTACTTTTATTAAGATAAATAAATTAAACTTACTCACTTTAAAAATTATATTTGATATATTAAATTATTTAGTAATTTTATAGATCTATTATGAATAATTATAATACATTTCACTTTTGTCTTAATACTTAACTTTGGCTAATATTTCATCTCTTAAAAAGCATTTTTAGTTCCCTTTTTTTATATATAAATGCTTTTTTTCCAAAAATGTATAAATTATAATGAATAGTTTTATAAAAAAATATTAACTTTTACATTATTTCTTTCAAATTATTGTTTAAGATATATGCATACATTTTTAGGGGGCAGGAATAGGGGGGAGGACTAAGGGGGATATTTTTTATTAGCTTAAAATGATATTCACAAAAAGTGATAAATTTCTGGGGGGGGGATTTCACCTGCCCCCCCCCCTGGCTACGCCTATGACTCTGCTTATGTATATTGCATGTTTTTATTTATTACTTAGTTCATCATTTAATTTAGTTATTTATCGTAAAATGACGATGATTCTGTTGCATTATTCTAATTTTATTATTACAATATAAATTTTATTTTTTGTTATAATCTAATTTTATTTTATAAACGGCGTAACCTTACTTTTATAATATATTTACTTTTTGTTTTTCGTTTGTATTCTAATTTATATAAATAGAAAATGTATATATACCTTAAGAAAAGAAAAAGAAATTAGTTAATAAAATATATTTTTACTGACTCGAACCTCGCACCATATCGTTAGTCTCCTTATTCTTTGCATGGTGCCCTTTGGGTGGTGGACTAGAAAAAGATGACTACCTAATCTGCTGATGACCATCTAATCTATGACGATTGCTTAATCCATTGAGATGACTCTATTTATATGACTACCTATTGTGATGATTGCTTAATCCATTGAGATGACTCTATTTATATGTCTACCTATTGTGACGATTGTTTAATCCATTGAGATGACTCTATTTATATGACTACCTATTGACTACCTATTGTGTTGATTGCTTAACCTATGGAGATGACTACCTATTATGACTCTACCTTGTGCTTAACCTATGGAGATGACTACCTATTATGACTACCTTATCTATTGTGACTACCTAATCTACTGAGATGACTATCTAACCTATGGAGACTGCTTAACCTATGGAGATGACTACCTATTATGACTACCTTATCTATTGTGACTACCTAATTTACTGAGATGACTATCTAACCTATGGAGACTGCTTAACCTATGGAGATGACTACCTATTATGACTACCTTATCTATTGTGACTACCTAATCTACTGAGATGACCAAGAATCAAACCTTAGTACGTTCTTTCATGCAAAAAGCTTCTTTCTTTATGGTGTCCCGGCTCTGGATGTTGGACTGGAATATAATAGCCAGCACCTAACCTAATGTGACAACCTAGGAAGAACTGATATGGAAGTTGAACGATAGGTTATGAATTCTATATTGTGAGACCAATGATGATTACTTATTATTCTAATTCACGTAAGAAGAAAAGTTATTATATTAAGATTTTATGCTA